AATGAAAAACCTGTAACATAAACAGAACATGACTTTGAGAGCAGGAGACCAAACATGGCTAGGGGTAGAACCAGCTTGAAGATATGCCAATACAAGGTTTCCAAACTAAAAATAAATGAGGACCAAAAAAACCTACACATACGCATATCATATTCAAGCTATAAAAACCAAAGATGAAAGGAAATCTTGAGAGACAACAGAGAAAAAAAATATAGAGGAACAAAGATGAGAATTATTCTTCTTTCTAGAAACCAGGCTAACAAGAAAAGTTTGAAGAAAAAAAAAACAAACCAAATTTCTGTATTTAAAACACATATCAACATGAAGCATAAATACTGTCTTTTTAGCCTTTGCCTTACTATGTATGTGTGTATCTGTGTGTGGTGTGTGCGGGTGGGCACAGGTGCTCATGGAGACAAGAGCTGTCATGGCCCCTGGAGCAGGAGTTACAGATGTTTGTGAATCACAGGACAGCAATCCCACCTGTGCAACCAACCTCCAGCCCAAAACCTCTTCTTGAACCAGTAACTCAAGGATCTCAGCCTGGCGTTCAATCCCAGCCCTGAGGGGAAAGAGGGGCCCACAGCTCTACAGCCTCAAAGACTGTGGGAGCCCTATCAGGATCCCAGCCAGTTTACTTGTCTAAAGTGACAAGCTACAACTCTCAGAAAAGGACAAAAGAAGAAGACTAACACTATACAGTTTTAAGGTGCTACAAGACAGGAGCACTCAGACTGGCCCTGCAGGTGTGAAGTGTAAGCTAGCAGGCAGCACTGAACAGCAAAACAAGCCACGGTGTGTGTGAGCAAGGATTTCCCACAAGGGTGCTAAGCCACCCGATGAAGCAGCTGTCACTAAACAAACTGCACTAAGGACCGGACAGTCACCTTGGAAAGGAAACTGGAGACTGGCCACAGTGGGCCACGCCTTTAATCCCAGCACTCAGGCAGCAGAGGCAAATCTTTGTGTTCGAGGCCAGCCTGGTCTACAAAATAATCAGCCAGGGCTACACAGAGAAACCTTGCCTTGAAGGGTTAAAATAAACAAACAAACAAACAAACAAACAAATAAATGGGAATTGGGTGCTTCTTTCACACTTTACATAAAAAGTAACTCAAAATGATTAAAACCTAAACTATAAAAATGTCAGGAGAAGACAAGACACAGAGTAATTCTTCATGATCTCATAATTGGCAACGGAGTCTTGCATATAACAACCACATCAGCAGCAACACTTTTCCTGGAGTGCCAGCGTGCCAGGAAATCCACAGATTCTGAAATTGCAGGCCTGCATGCCTGTGCAAACCAAGTGCTTAAAATACATCCCTGTGTAGTTATAAAGACAGACATATATACATACATATACATATACATACACACACACTAGTGCTTGTTTCTCCAAATACACCTAAAGTTGTTATGCCTTGAGCTCCTACTCTTGAAACAAAGCATGACTCACATAAAAAACTGATACCTGGAGCTCGTCGAAATGAGAGCCTGGTTTTGGGAGACTCCAGCAAAGGGTAAAGGAAGGCTAACAACGGGATGAAATGCCTGCAAGCATCTCCAGGACAGGTGACTCAGTATGCAGGCTAATACCAACTCCCAAATCCCAGTAGAAATGCAAAGTGGAAAGGGGCTGGGGAGATGGCTCCACCAGTAAAGAACAGAGCACTGACCAGCACAGGAAGAGCGTTTACAGACTGTTACTAACATGGGGAAAACACAGCAAATCTGCACTCTGAGGTAACATGCTGACTGCCCAGCCTGAGACCACTGGAGTCTGCATCCTTTGAGCCCACACAGAAGCTCCAGAAATGGTGGCTCACACCTGTAATCCCAGCACCCCAGAGGCAGAGGTGGTGATGTGAGCTCAAAGCCAGAGGGAGTTCCAGAACAGCCAAGGCTACACAGAGACACCCTGTCTCGAAAAACCAACCAAAAAGCTAGATGCAGCAGCAGTATCTGCTATGCCAGCACACTCCTATGGCAAGCTAGCACTCAGGGCAGCGGTAAGCAAGAGGCCTTGCCTCAAACACAAGGTGTAAGGCAAGCAAGGCAGCTGAGGGTGTTCTGCCTCGCATGTGGGTGCCACACATGCACACACGCGTGTGCGCACTATAATTGTGTGTGTGTGTGTGTGTGTGTGTGTATACGTATGTACGCATATTAATATATGATGTTTCTAGGAAAGACTTAACAGTGAATCTGTGATGAACATAACATCGTATTTTGCAAAAGCTCACAGAAAAGTGCGGAGCAAGTGTGAGACGAGTACACTGTAACAGAACAGGAAATGTTCACACTGTACCAGCAGAAAGGCAATTGCCAACAGATTTGGTGGTGGGAGCAACAGGAGAGATAATCAGAATCATGGGGGCAAGTGTGTTTCACAGTCCTGTTAACAGACACCCACCACGGTATTCGTTCACCAACCCTCAACTCCTGTTTACTCAGCCCTGAGGCGCGGTCTCCCCCAGAAGAAGGGGTGGCTGCCTCATCAGCAGGCTTCCCCCATGCTCGCCTGCTCACCCGCGCCTTCTGGGGAGGTGTGCTGCTCCACTCACATGTGAGGAGCCCACCTCGCCACACTGAGCACCACTGCCCGAAATTCCTCATCTCAGCGTGGCCTAGGACTGCGGCCTTAAGGGATCCCAAGCTTCCTCTGATGTGCTGACCCAAAAACACAGAGAAAGGCAGGCGGGCAAACCTGGTAGTTGAATAAGCAGCAACAGACATGCAGTGGCCCTACTACGCACCCACATCCCTGTGACTACTCAACACAGGTTCCGGAGTTCTCCCCTCAGGACTACAGAGGTGGCTCAGCAGTTAAGAGCTCTAGAGGACCAGGGTTCGGTTCCCAGGACAAACAAGGTACCTCACAACCATTCTTAACTCCGGTTCCAAAAACTCTGTTCCCTTAGCTTCATGCAGTTATCAGGCGTGCATGCATATGGCACATGTACATACACATGAAATAAATGGAATACCCTTAGTTTCAGCTGTAGCTCAGGGCAGTGTTTGCCTAGTACACACTAGGCCTCACCCTGAGCATCACAGAATGGGTCAAACCAGCCAATTTCCCCAGTGACCACACAGCTGGCAATGCTGGCCTCGGAGAAGGAGAAGAATGAAAGCCAGTGCTGTTGACTACTATGCAGATGAGCTCTCTATTTCTATACCGTGCTTTTTTGTGTTTTGTTTGAAATTTATTTTCTGTTGTGAAGTATAAGGCAAAGTGATCTGATAGGAGCAGAGCAAAGTATAAGTGAATCAGCAAAAAGAAGAAAATGCAAAAGATTTGAGTGCATTGCCATGGAGAGCTAAGAGCCTGCCAAAGAACTCTTTATAAGACTTGCAAACAGTGCTAGGCCTGGGAGGGATCAAGAGCCATGAACTTCCAGTGCAGGGAACTTAAGATGATTATAACCAGAAGAACACTGGATTGCTTGTGAACATGAATATAAAATATAATTTTAGCTGCGAGACAATAATTATAGCTGGATGGAATAGAAAACACACCTTTTCTCAAGGCTTCCAGTTTCCTTAAGGAACTATGTACAGCAAAATTTCAGAAAGATCTCTGTCCATATATATGTAAGTGTGTAAATATTATACATGTAAACATATACTCATGTTTTAAGGACAGGGTCTCACTATGTAGCTTTAGGTGGTATAGAACTTGCTATATAGACCATCCTGGCTTCAACTCAGAGATCTGCCTCCCCAGAGCTAGGATTCAAGCCACGCACCACATCCAGCCTCAGCAAAAACTCCACATTGGACATCAGAGTTGGGGTTTCACAGTAAGACTGAAGAGCCCACAGAAGACGGCAACAGTGCTACTTTATGCCTTCACTGCAAACATTGGACGTTTCTCGACGGAATCTTCTATTTTCCTATAGCCTCCAAAAATGCTCTAAACAGAGTCACAATTTACAGAATTAGACCATACCCACAAGCAGCCTAATTACTGGCTTGACCTGGATAATTTTATCACAAGAGTTAGGAGTTTAGCTCGGCAGCAAGCACATACCTATTAAGCCCAAGACCTAGAGTTAAGTTCTCAGCACTGAGAGAGAAGAGAAGGAGAGAGAGAGAGGGAAGGGGGAAGAGAGGGACAGAGAGAGAGAGGGAGGGAGGGGAGGGACAGAGAGAGAGAGGGAGGAAGGAACAGAGAGAGAGGAAAGGAGGGAAGGGAGGGACAGACAGAGAGGAAGGGAGGGACAGAGAGGGAGGAAGAAGGGATAAAGAGGGAGGGAAGAAGGAGAGAGAGAGAAAGAGAGAGGGAGGGAGGTTCTCTTCATCCCAAACTAACAAAAAACAACTCAAAGGGCAACACAACCTCAGACCAAATAGTTACTTTTAAATTTAAAATTAAAAATTTACTTAAAAGTCAGAATTGCCCAAATACACAAGGTTTCAATTTCATACATGTGCTTTTTAAATGACGTCATTTGAAACATAAACCAACAAACAAACACAATCTGAAAGGAAAGCCAGGTAGGGGAAAAGTAAAGAGCAAACCACCAAGGCATTTCTTTGTGGGCCAGCACGATCAGGGGAAATGCTTGGGACAGGCGCACACGGCTGCGAGCACATTTAGTCACCGTGCACATCCTGCTCCAGCGCTGCGAGCTTTAGCCAATGACATGTCAGGGCATCTTTCCTCACACACACGTTACACCTGAGCACCTGCTAGAAACAGAGTGAGGCTCGGCCACCACTAAAGACACACTTCCCAGGGCACACCAGGAGAGCTCTGCAAGCTTGCAAGCTCACAGCAGCTCCAGCCCCACAGGCGTGTTCACTGACACCACACGGCACTTCTCTAGGAATGTCACGAGCTGGTTCACATTTTTTTTCCTCCTGCTCTGTAAATCAGAATAGAACCCGTGCATTCTGAACATATAAAGCAAAACAAGCACCTCGCAACCCGCCGGCCTTAGGGACAGCACCATGGCTCTTGAGGCAAGTGTGCAGGCACAGGCCCCTCTTACCCGCATCTGCTCGGTAGAGCTGCTGCTGAGCTCATCTCCGGACTCCGAGTCCTGGTGTGTTCTTTCTGAGCCTTCTCCAGCGGAGTCACAGGCCTGTTCCTGGGAGAAGCCGGTCTTCTCCACGTCCAAGAACTCCGGGCCAGGAAAGTGCCCAAACAGGCGTGTCCTGTTCTGGCTGGCCGATTTGGGAGAGTGCGCGTCACTGAACTTTCCGTTATTGTGGCTCAGGTCCAGGCTGAGGTTAGCAGTCTGGCCTGAGTTATAGCTGGGTCCGAAATTCTGATTGGCATCACGAATAAGACCTGTGCCTTGAGCAGAGGACACTGGCTTCCCGAAACTTGAGAGCTCAGGCATCTTGTTGACGTTTTCCGTCGGTCTCTGCAGGTGCACGCTCGGTACCGTCTTCCCGGAGCTACCCGGCAGGCCCGCCGGCGGCTTCCCCGGCGGCATCAGCGCTTTGCGAGCCACCTCCCTGACGTACTGCGCTGGCACGTAAAAGGCTTTGGAGTTCTCATCCGCCCGGACCTGCCACCAGTCGTCATTGGTCTTCTTCACCAGCACGTACCGCTCGCCTTGCCTGATGACAACCTTCCTGTCCTTCGCTTCGTACTCATAGTCATACTCCACCTCAATGTACGCTTGGCCGGCAGCGATCTTCCCACTCCTCTCCGCCATTTTCCCTCAGTGTCGCCCCCTCTCCAGACAGGTGCCGTGCCTCATTGTGCCTGGGCCTGGCTGCACTAGCACAACCCTTCCATTTAAACGGAGAAAGGAGAGAGAAAAATTAATGGGTCTAGATTTGATGTTCACAGACACTATACATACAGTTAAAGAGCACTACCCTCAACTCGAAGCCCCATAAACAAGTAAGTCTAATAACGCATGCATCACCCCCATCCTTGCACTAAGTGTTCCCTTACCTATGGTCCACCAGGCCGCACTGTATAAATGGCCACAGATGGCATAGTCAAGTCTTCACCTCAGGCTCCTGAAGACGTCCTCCCTAAAAGCAATGGTCTTCGCGGGTGGAAAGCCAAGACAAGGTTGCTGTAGCTTGACTGAAAACAGCCCGACGGGCAGGCAGGGAGTGATATCATTTGAGAGGGTTAGGGCATGCGGCCTCTTTGGAATAGGTGTGGCCTTATTAAAGGAAGTGTGTCACTGGGTAGGCTCTGAGGTTTCAGGAGCGCAGGCGAGGCCCAGTGGTTCAGTTTCTGCTGATCTGGATGTAGACCTCTCAGCCACCTTCCCAGCACCTTGTCTGCCTGCGTGCTAACACACTTCCTGCCATGAAGACGATGGGCTAAAGCTCAATTAAATGTTTTCGTTTATAAGAGCTGCCGTGGTCATGGCGTCTTTTCACAGCAATAGAACCCTAAGATAGCCATGTTTGTTAAGAGTCAGTATCTCTTTGTTACAGTGCACGTGTGTGTTCTCGTGTCTTTATGTCATGTGCCTGAGCTCACCTGTGCCTCGCACCATGCGTAGCTATCTCAAGGTATCCGTCTCTCTCTGTTACTGTCCAGGATAGCTCACTGAACCCAGGGGTTTGGCTAGTCTGGCATCCGCCTGTGCATTTGAGCATTCTCTGTGCACACCTCCATGTGCTGGGGTTACAGGCAGGCTGTCGCAGCTTACCTACGGCTAGAGGCCTGAACTCTGGTCCTCCACTGTGGAGCTTTACCAGGTCAGCCTTCTCCCCCCTCCAGCTGTGTCCCCTCCCATGTCTTTAAAGAGGAAGGCCACAGATTTAGAACAGAGCGAGGGAGTGGGGGACAGAGGCCACGTGCCGCAGCACACAGGACTGGAGTCGGTTCCCCGCAGCTCATCAACCAAGCGTGCTTGCAGAAACCTGTACTCCAGCACTTGGAAGAGGGCAGCCGAAAGATGAGAAGTTTAAGTTCACCCTGCCAGGTCCCAAAGAAACCAGGCCAAGGCTCACGCAGTACCTGTGGCTCCTCTCAGCACATCCTCCCAACTTCCCTAAGGCTCTCCAGCCCAAGCTGGCATGACCCTGGTTCCTATATAAACCCGAGTTTTCGGCCACGGGCTCCCTTGGTTCTTCTCTGCTCTTGGTCAGCTTGTCCTCTCTTCTCTTCCTCTCTCTCCTCTCACAGCATGGTCCAGTCTCGACCCTCCAGATGTCTCTGGCTGAGCTCTCCCTCAGGCCTACAATAAAGCCCTTCCCTCAACCGTACCTAGAGGTGCTCATATCCTCATTTCACTCACATCCCAGGGTACATACAAGTCTGTCCTCAGCCTGGACTATGAGAGACCCTGACTCGGGGGCAGGGGACAAAGAAGGAAGGGAGAGAAGGAAACAGAAGAGTCAGACAGGAGACAAAGGGCTTCCCAGAAGCCGTAAGAACCTATGATTAGCCAAGGCAGGATCTTCTTACGGTGGGCAGAGGACAAACACTGGCAACACTAACCCTGTCACTTCTGGGCAAGGTTCTCATCACGTAGCCCAGGCCGACCTCGCCAACACCTGCCTGCCTCGAGCGCAGAGGCTAATGCCGCTGCTTAAAGCCACCCACCTGCAGTGCAGCAGGGTCTCACTGACCCGGCGTAAATATCCTGAAGCTTTGGGAGCACTAACGTGGCACAGGTGGAAAACGACGCGCAGGGTCCCGTATGATGGGTCAGTGTGAACACAGATGCAGGTGTTGAGTGTACATGGTGGGTAGAAACAACTGTGCCCCCAAGCCTACCATCTCGAAGATAAAGCAGTAAGATGAGCTGGTAATAAATTCATTATCAACACAATTTCAGTAACTGCAATTCCTTTCTAAACAAGCTCCTCAAGTAACATACAGTTACACTGTTTCAAAAACAGAAAACATTAAACTTACCTTGGAAAGCTGCGAACATCTGGTGTTTCATTTAAACCTATAAAATTAAATAAAAAATTTTATTATCTCTAGCCAAGATTCCTTAAGAGGCTAATCATTTAACACTGTGCAGAATTCTGGAAGCAGAATGTTTGTGACAGTGACATGGACCACGGAGTGACTTTTCAGGGCCAGCCTCTAACAAAACCACCTGGGGCCATCGAGAGCACGTATGCCATCTCAACAGCCCTTATTCTTACTCTGATGCACAAGAAGATTTTTTCATTTTTGGATCATATGATAAACAAATTTGAGAAAATGTTTCTTTACGCTTATGGTATTGAGAATGATGACACGTTTGCTGCTGTTAGGAACCCTGACACATTTTCCCCACAGATTACTCACGCTACAAAAACAGAAACAGACATTGCAATGCTTTTCTTTTCCCCGGGACAGGCTCTCTCTGTGGCCACTGCGCCACTGCACCCAGCTGCAATGCCTCTTTTCAGGGTTTTCACTCAAATGGCAGGAGAGAGGACACCAAGAGGAGACATACCTATGGCCAGACATAGGTGCTTCCTGCCAAAGGGAGCTCAGCCGGGCGCAGCGCAGCGGCACACCCCTTTATCCCAGCACTGGGGAGGTAGACATAGGGGATTTTGAGGCCAGCCTGGTCTACACACAGTGAGTTCCATACAGTGAGCTCAGGACAGCCAGAGCTACACAGTAAGACCCTGTCTCAAACAAAGCCTATTTCACTTCATACATTTACTAGAGAACAAGGAATCCAGAAAGCGAGACACTCCATTAGTTCCGTTAGACGACAGAACTAAACTCTTCGGGTCATGAAAAATAAAAAAAATGGAAGAGATTCCTCAAGATTAGACATTTTTATAAGCAAAACTGGTTGGTACCTAAAATTTACCATATCCAAAAACTACGTCCTAACTATACCCCCCCCATCCTGACGGCAGAGAGAGCGCTCACCTCTCCAGCTGTTCCGTCTCTGCTCCTATGCATGAGGGCAGCAGTCACCCTCACTGAAGAGTCAAAGTCTTCACAAGGTTTCAAAGTCCATCCTGAGCCTGCAGACACGCCCAGCAAGGAAGAGCATTTGCTGCTCCTCCAGCATTCCCAACTTCAGAAGAGCACCCACACCGTGTGGCTCACCATCTAGACCTCCAAGGGATCCAATCCAATGCCCCCTTCTGGCTTCTATGGACACACACACACACACACACATATATCATTAAAAAAAAAAAAAAAAAACAGTTCATACTGAATCAGTCCTGTGCAGTACAAACACCAGATGCAGACAATAAGTATAACAGTGGTCCCTACAATGTCACAGTAGGGACCTAACATCCTACAATGTCACTGTAGGACTAACATCCTACAGTGACACATTCCTCACGTCTGTAGTAATACTGACACACATACACACCTATCATGCTGCAGTAATAAAAGACATAATATAAACTCTTGTGCATAACACCATACCAAGCGATAATAAATGACTATTACCGCGTGTTTCACACTGTATTCCCGGTATTCTGGAAGCCACCATCTCATACACAGTTTTCTATATTTTTTTAAAGGTTTATTTATTTATTTTATGTATATGAGCACAGAAGACGGCATCAGACCCCTGTATAGACTGGTAAGCCACCATGTGGTGGCTGGGAATTGAACTCAGGACCTCTGGAAGAGCAGACAGTGCTCTTAACCACTGAGCCGTCTCTCCAACCCCAGTTTTCTATTTCTAACAGGTTCTACAACAGTGTGCCATGCCACACTGGCAGAGCTACCACACATCTTGTGTTTACTGCATCATTCACTGCAACAAGAGACCACGGAAAGTGACCGTCCCGGTCTGTGTAAATACACTGACACTCTAAGGGAACCAGCCAAAAACCATTAGAATTCTCACAATTCTACAACGTGAAGCATAACTATACTTTATCCTTGAACACTTGGGTTTTTCCTTTTCCCAGGGAAGTATAGAATAAAAAGTCCTTTGAGGATACAGAGGTGAGTAAGGAAACATGCAGTTAGTTTTCACAAAGTCACCACAGCCTGGAAACGTCAGGGCTGGCAAACTGTGCTTGATTTCATGCTACTGTAGAGGCTGTGGCACTGGAGAACAGCAATCACAGGACAGCCGAGCTCCCTATTTACTGCCAAGCCAGCTGACCACACCCATCCTAGTGACTGCAAAGACAGTACACAGGAACAGGTGGGGAGACAGGCCTGTAAAGGGACTCAGTGTCCTAGTTCAACGTGAGGCATCCAATCTGCACTTTTAGGTAACAGCAATGAGATGTGTGAAGGCAAGGCAACCATGGCAGATAAAGGACACAATCGATATAAAATGGTGGCACATACTAAGGAGGGTGAGATGAGCAAGAAGACACCTGGAAATGAAGAGCAGACGCTACACATAAACTATTAGTGAAAGCAAGGTAAGAGGTGGAAACGAAACTGGAAAGTCCTAAGATAATCGTTAAACTGAGAAATGTCTAGAAAGCTATAAAGCAGACTTATGCACTACAAACAAGTCTAAGAAAGAAAACTTGGGTAAAATTAAGTCTTATTATAAAGCATGTAATGAGAGAGATGAAGACAGATCTAAATGGAAATCATAGACAACTGTGTGAATCATTTATTCTATTTTGTTTAAGAACAAGCTCTATTAAAATGAAGGCTTACTTTGATTTGGATTTGTTTCTTCCTCCTCTCCTTAGATGAGGTCGAAGGCTGTTTACTCTGATAACTTTCCATAGGATTCTATTCCTTAACTAGAGAAATTGCTCACCAGAACACTCCTGAAGTGGAGTCTAGTCCCTGCTTCTCACCACAGGCCTCTACCAAGCTCACCGTCAACACTGACTAAGCATCCAATCACCAGAACATTCAGCTTCCCTGTCTACTGCTCAAGAGGCCCCTTGCTTCTCTCAGCATTTTAAATGTCCACATGAGGCCTTCAGGCCTCTTGCCAGTCCTCTTGCTCTGCTGCTGCAATCACGTCCTCCTTATGTGTCAGTACACACATACAGCTTTGGTATGATGGGCCTACACTCATGCGGAGAGCCTCCATCTTGCTACTTTGTTTTGTTTTGAGTCAGTCTCACTGAGCAGCTCGGACTGTCTTGGAACTGCTATGCAGCCCAGGCTGGCCTTGAACTCTAGAGACCCTCCTCCCTTTGCCTCCGATGAAAGCTGGGAAGGCCCACACCAGGCTTTGTTTTCTTTTTGGAGACTGGAGCTCTCCCGGGCCTGGAATGCAGCACTTAGTCTAGGATGGCTGACCAGCAGGCCAGAAGGGTGCGCCTCAGCCCCATCTCCCCAGGCTGGCTTGCAAGCGTACCCCATGAGGCCTGGCTGTTTATGTGGGTGCTGGGAACCAAATAGGTTTCCCATCTGAGTGCTGGATGAGCCACACCTCCTCGTGCTCTAGCCTGCTCACACTCAGCACTCAACCAGGCTACTTTATCATCTGATAACCTCTTTCCCCATCTGTTAATTTTTTAAATTGTCTCTCTCATGTAAACTCCTAAGAAGCCTACCACAGATTACACAGCCCTGCAAATGTCACCTTCCTCCCCCAGGACATCTGTTCTAACCAACTACATCTTACTAGATACATGCAAAACAAAGTAAACAAGAAATAAAAGCTGAAGAAAAGCAAAACCTTGAGTAAACACATCCATAACTAAGAGGTCTGTAACTTAAGACTTGCCTAGATATGCACAACACATTCTGAAGCTCTAGTGCTTAGACCGGTAACAGGCCAATGTGCCTCAAGCATGTAAACATTAAGTCATCTAAAAACATCACGACTGAATCACTAATTCTTGGCACTATGCTCTGCACAGTTTTTAAAATAATAATAAAATGAAGCTACAATTGAGTAGTCAACATTTCTCTAACATGCGTGAGGCCCCCCAAAAAAAACTAAGAAGGTATCAGGAGATGGGGGGTTAGTGGAGGTGGTGGGGATAAGAAAGAGGAGACAAGTGTGACCAGAACATACTCTATGCATGTACAAAACTGTCAAAAAGTCAGTCAATTTTTAATTTCTTAAAAAAAAAAAAAAAAAAAAAAAAACAAATGGAGATGTAACTTAGTTGGTAGAATGCTTACTTGCCTAGAATGTACCACAGCACCACAAAATGAGAAAAAAAATCCCTAAACAAGTGCCTAATAAATAAGATACAGTTTAACGAGCATGACGACAAAATCCACAAAGGTACCAGCAGAAGAGAGTGTTCCACCAAGCAGTTTTCTGTTGCACATTTTTAATCATTAGCCAGTATTAAGCACTCCAAGTTTTTCTTAATGAATAATCCTGGCTTTCTGAGCATGGACAGATACACAATAAAAAACACTTCTCTGAATTGAAACAGGCATCGTAAAGAAGTAAAGGCAAATGCCATTGGCCACTCTGGCTGTGGAAAAAAAAAGAAAAGAGAAAAAATAGAACACAGGAAATAAGTTGATAGCTGTAAAGTGGTAAAGGAGGCAGCAGAGCAGACCCAGAAGGAAATGCAACAGCAAGACTGAAACAAAACGAGGAATCAGCAAAAGAAGTATTTGGGGAAATGATCATATTTTAATAAAAAGGAAATGTGTCAACCAAGCCTTTAATCCAGCACTCAAGAGACAGAGGCAAGAGTATGTCTGAGTTCGAGGCCAGCCTGGTCTGCGCGATAAATTTTCCTTATATATGAGACTCTGTCTCAAAAAAAGGAGGAAAAAGTTAATTAAAATTGTAAAAGAGAAAATTTGTGCGGAGCCACTGGAGACCCATGTGCCATGAAAGACAGAAACGGGGTCACCTCAGTGACTTCCCTTGGCTGTAGTTCACGGCCAGAGCTGTGTCATAATCAGGGTGCCCAGGAGTGCCAGGCTTAGTGCGCATGTGCTGGAGGGAACATCCAATACACACTGGAATACAAGCTGGGATTTAGCATATGACAAGTTCATACTCCACGAGGGAGAAAAAACGGACCTCACTAACATTAAAAGCCTGTTCAAAGGCGCTGAGGAAGCAGCTGC